AGAGAGAGAGAGAACATTTATGACGTGGGGCAATTTTACCGCACTAGCAACACAGATAGGTCGTTTGAGTGCCGAAGACAAGAGGTGTTACTAGAGCGAAACATACTGAAAAAAAGAAGGAGAAGGGATGAGGATGGCAGAATGTTTGACAGGAAAGAAGTAAACCATACCAGAGCGGTGTGATGCAGGAACACGAAAGGGGAAGGGGATGGGGCTAGAATAAATTATTATGTACTGTTACCATGTTATTATTCTATGACAGCGTTAGTGGTACGCTTTTAGCTCATTTTAGTAAATGTTTTACGGCACTTGCAACACAATAAGGTCCTATAAGTGTCGAAGGTTTGAGATGTTACCGGGGAATTTAACCCCCCACCCCCTCACACACACACACACACACACACACACACACACACACACACACACACACACACACACACACAAACACACACACACGCACGCACACAGAAAGAGGAGATATAAGTACGACACACGTTTGACGGGAAAGAAAGAGCAGACCACACCAAAGCACCCGCCAACAACCCGCACGCTTTTAATTGCGTTCTGTGCGTGAATTACAGCCGATCAGAAAGTTATCACGCTGGGAACTTATTGATGAGCAAGGAAACATAAAAGATCAAAGAAATCGCAAACATGATACGGTATTGATTTCTGCCACAGATATTGCTGGTGTATTTTCCTTTTAGTAAGCGCCTTGTGTGTCGGTGTGTGAGTGTGTGTGTGTGTATGATCGTGGGTGTGTGTAAGTGTGTCTCTCTGTGTGAGTGTGTTTGTGAGTGCGCGTGTATGTGTGTGTGTGTGTGTATGTGCGTGTGTGTATGTGTGTGTGCGTCTGTCTGTGTGTGTATGTGTGTGTGTGTGTGTGTGTGCGCGCGTCTGTACGTGTGTGCATTTGTGTGCAAGAGTGTTGAGTGTGTATGGGCGTATGTACGTGTGCGTATGTGTGATCCACAGATATGCATAAACAGAGACAGACAACAGAGGTTTGTCCCATCAATTAGGGGCGTTTCCACACTGTATTTTCAATAAACATTTATTTATTTCGACACGAGTATATGCAAATAAGGCTTTTATCTATAGCACCTGTGAAATTTAAGGAGAGGAAACACAGTGCCTGTGAAAAGATATTATTTTCATAGTTATTTGTTGTTGTCATCGTCATCGTCATCGTCATCGCCTTCGCCGTCGTCGTCGTCATTGTTGTTGTTGTTGTTGTTGTTGTCGTTGTCTTCGTCTCCGTCGTCGTTGTCGTTGTTGTGGTTGTCGTAGCACGCAAAAAAATCCCTAACGTTTCCATGCTTACAAATAAACATGAATAAGTCAGGGGGAAAATGAGACATGCACCCCCAAAAAAACAAAAACATAAAAAAATTGACAACAAACAAACAAAATACAAAAACAAACAAAGAAACTATTTCAATGTTGCTCAACATCCAACGATCATCTGAGTAGTTGACGGGTCGGGTCTTCTTGTAAGATCTACTTCCTCTGTGTCTACCGTCCACATAAAGCTGTGTCATGTACACTGTTGTAAGATCTACTTCCTCTGTGTCTACCGTCCACACAAATTTGTGTCATGTATACTGTTGTAAGATCTACTTCATATGTCCGGTGTCTACCCTCCACACAAAGTTATGTCATGAATGGATGAAATGCTTTAGTTAGTCATCATCGATGCGGATGGACAGCCGGGATCAGACATTATTTTGTGTCAGCGGAGTGTATAAGCAAGGGCGGGGCTCAACTCAAATTGTAAACAGTATCCCCAAGAAACCACATTTCTGTGACTTCTCACGCTTTTTTTGTTTTTGTTTTCTTTTGTTTTGTTTTGTTTTGGGTTGGTTTTTTTTTTTGTTGTTGTTGCTAAAACACTCAGCTCACAAAAATGTCTCTCCTCGGCTGTCCATCGATATTGCTGATGACTAAATCAGAATGCAATGACTAAATCCGAATGCATGATACAGCTTTGCATGGGCGGTAACGTTAGAGGAAGACCATTGTATGTAGAGCATCCTTGATAAAACATTTAAGCTCACGAAAGTGTTTCACGGCACGCTGGAATCAGGCGCTCGTCTAATTTTGGGAACGTCGAGTTATTGCTATAATCTGAAAGCTTGTTCATTTGTCTTGCGTTTAATTTTAAGAAATACGAGCCGCCCCTGCTGGGCCCCGTTTCGATGAAAGGAATGATCGGTGCATTAACGTCAGCCGAAAGTCACTGGCTTATATTTACATTCTACTGGAATGGAGCAAATATTGAGAGACGCAAAAGTTAGAAGGTTTAGATCTATACTCTCAAAACAGTGCGCACGGTTAGTGAACGGAAACCCCCTTTTCTAAAATTACAGAGTCAGAAGCGTCGGCCAACAAATGCGACCGGCGAAATAAAGAAATGTAGCTTTTTGCAGCTAAACTGTCTCAAAACTGAAAAAACGAAGGGTGTCAAGATCTGGAGAATACTTTAAAAAATCTTTTGGCGAAAACCGCATGTCGATCGATGCAGCCATTAAATAGCCTTTTGAGTAGCAAAATTCGGCCACCACAAATAGATAATAGATACCGATCTACCATTGAGATGTTTGCGATTATAAAGAAGGTGGGTGGTCGCAAATCGTCAGAGGTAAACTAAACGAGAAAATGGCAGTCAACATGAGGTGACTTCAAAAGCAATGAATTTACTTTGCAATTGGTTGTGTCTTCGGTCCACAATTGTCAGTAAAATTCCCCAAAAATTATATCTTTCTTTGGACATAAAAGGTGTCGAGCCAAAGAAAAAGAAGTCGAAAAAACTGTTAAACCGGCAAAAACAATTGTATTTCCTCAATTTCATTTTTCTGACGAGCGCCTGATTTCCCTAAGATGATACATAACGATTTTTTAACACAAATTGGTCTCTTTTCAGCATACGAGGGCTATCCCGAAAAAAGCTGTTTTGAGAAAATCGAAGGTAAAGTCTTTGCCCCTTGTTCAGTTTCTTTAAAAGACAAGGAGAGTTTTCTCAATAA